AATTGTATATAAATAAAATTATACATAAGATATTAAAATATCATTTACATATTTGGTACAACTTTTTACTACATGTTTCGGTTACATTGAACCATCTTCAGGTGTAAAGTTAAAAGTTAAAAATTATATTCTTATAAACTAAAACTTAATTGCTGTTGTTGTGTAACTTCTGATGATGTTTACTTCCACCTGAAGATGGTTCAATGTAACCGAAACATGTAGTAAAAAGTTGTACCAAATATGTAAATGATATTTTAATATCTTATGTATAATTTTATTTATATACAATTGTGATTAGACGGAAGGAAACACGAATAATTAAATTTTAATTCACAATGTGACGCAATTATATCAACTTAAGCATATGACAATAAAAAAATAAAAAATATAAAAATTACAGCTTCAAATAAGTAATTTTTAATCTTTGTACATGTCATTCCTGACCATATTTACATACCATGTGACATATTTATTACCTCAATTGTACAAGATGATAAATAAAACATAACTGATAAAGCTTATACTTCAAATAAATGACTACCGAGAAAATCAGTAATCTATGACGCAAAATTGTATAAAGATAAAATCAGATTTTTAGCAGACATTTTACTTGGAAAATAATGGTTGTCTTCTACGTGATGCATTCTCCAACTCACAACGCAAATACGACCTACCTGCTTTACTGACGAATGAATACAGTTCTCTGCAACAGATGCCAGCACACGGTTACGTTCCTTCCAGCTGGTATATTCAATGGATTACATTTTGTGGTATCTCTGAAATAGTTCCAACAAAAATGTATTGAAAAAGTATCTCTTTTTAAATGCATTTATCACTAACACAAGATCAGCAAATTTGATCACACAGCACTTCTGTACATACTTAGGAACGCTGTCAATGTAATAAAAACTAATTTACCAAGATTTTATTATACTGATCCAGCATTACAGTAAAACATCTTATGTTGTCAACTACTACTGTCTTTTCACAGTACTAGCAAGTTCTCCAAAATCAGTGATTAAAATGGTCACTTACATGAAATATTCCCATAAATGTATGTGTGCATCATTAAAAACTCTTTCAAAACATATATTCATCAGACAAAATCCTTTGCATAAAAACACTGTGGTAATTTCCCTCAAAGTATATCGATATTTTAATATATCATTGTCTCTAAGTGCTTCTCCATTTTTTACAGAAAGTGAGACTCAAAACATCTTTCATAACTAGTTTCAAGAGATGAATCCTGTTGCGTGTTGATCGTTAGGTTGGCAGTCCACCTACACAAAAATTTTTGATGTTTATTAAGATCAACTACATGTTTCGACCTTAATTGGTCATTGCCATGTGGTTCACTTTAAGTAAAGCCCATAATGTATACAATTTAGCAGTAGTATCTATTAGTTTAATACAATTAAAGAGAGACACGTTTGTTGTGTAGATGGACCGTTAACCTAATGATCATTCACCATGTAGATGTGTTTGTGATTTCACTATATTTTAATATGAAACAATTTAATGAATGAACTCTCACATACTTTTAAATTTAATTTTCAAACACCTCTAAACACTTTTCCTGAGGTGGAAACCATACCAGAGTCATTTAAAAAAGCCAAGAAATTTTGTTTCATGACAAATCTAAATTTATTCTCACATTACTGGTGGCAGTAACATCTGAACTTCTTTTTCATATGCTGAAAATAAAAAAATTACATTAAGCTCTGAACGTATATCTGACAAATTCCAGTTATTGCGCGCACGTGTGTATATATACCAGCATAAATCTAAATCATTTGACAGTCCAATTATTATTATTATTATTCAGTGTTCTGTCTTACGACAGGTCCATTGCTCTGCCCAAACAGAGCTCTCCAGTTTTCCCTATTCTCAGCTTCTCGTTTTAA